AAGGCGCTTTACATGTGGTTCCCCCCGAAGCCGGTTTTCAGTGGCCCCAACTGAACGCTCCAAATCGCATTGAAAGCGCCTCGATCCCAAACCACTTCTTTAGGTGGTTTCGAATCGGTTTTCCCGCATCGCGATTTGCGTCTGAACGCAATGTGATTTCAATGTGACTTCGCCTGGTCATGGATTACGGGGTGATATTTCCTTATTTATATACAATACTAAATCCTACGTGTCAGCAACTTAAAGTGCAGTAATGGTCAAATAATGTGTCCGTTCTAGGACGAGCTTCACCGCCTCTGGCGGGACCACGTCGGCATTCGGCCGAGATACGCTGGGAGGGGGGCATCAGCAAGCAGGTTACCTAGCGTGTTTTCGTCAAACAAGAATGAATGCAGTTTCGGAGAATCGTGATCGGGCAGGTTTTAAAAGGAATGTATGGCACATGGACCAGATGTAAGGAATGTGAGTTACCCGAATCGCGGGTCGGGTGATTTCATATGAACAGGGCCTACATGTACGGCACGACCGGCTTGCAGCTGGTCCGCACCTGGTTGCCGTGCTGCTTGAACAGAGGCAGCCCCACCATAAACGTGTTATCAACCAGGTCTGGAGATGGCATCTTCAACAGGATCTGTACCTAGACGAAGCGACAACACAAACATCAATTGTTTTTATGCTTTGTTGTCATTTTTAGTTGAAAATGTTCATCTTTCCCGACAATTATTTTGCTATTTTCAGACATGGCATTGGTAAGGGCATATATATAATTCATTCCACATATCGTAGTGGGCATGGCAAGTACAAAGTATGCAGTTTGTACTTCAAAGTATACAACTGATTTATACTTCTGTATTCATTTATAATATCTTAAAGGTTAAACTCTGTTCTCTTGTTACCCATGTTTTGTGATGTAATTTTTATTTTATGTCTAGTGGTGACGTGAATATAAGCATTTTGCTTGAGTGCGTCACCACTATGTATTGTATTTTTGATTGTTGAAATAAAAAAAACATGCAGTGTGGTCTAACGTCAAAGTGTAAGGCCCCAAGGCGTGGCTACAGACAAATAGAAGCCTGCCCATGGGCCTTAAACTTTGTTAGATGACAATGCGCCATGCAGCACAGTTCGAACGGTGAAATGGCTTATAAGCAGATACTAGAATACTTACCTTCTCTACTTCATTGCCCAAATCTCTTTTTTGATCCCCCAAAATGTTAAAGAACTCAACAACAGAGATGACCAATCAGAAATCACACCACGTACCTTTCTCTCGGACACCACCTTCCAGAGCTTGACGCCACCTTGTTCCATGACGCCAAGTGCTGCTATGGCTTCTTCTTTCCAGATCTTGAACAGCTCCTCCTGTGTCATACCTGGGAGAGGATGTCCAAATGTAGTCTCTAGGCATCCAATGCAATTTCAGGGCGCCGAAACTGGATTTTCTAGTTAATTTCTTGGTCATTCTTCTAATGTAGGAAGTTCAATCAGTCCTATCCCAAAGAATACGTATACAGGGCTCGAAATTCATTTTTGGGAATAGGTGCACTGGTACGTGCACCCAACCCAAAAAATTGGGTACACAAAAAATATTTTAGGTTCACCATATAAGATAAGATAATTATGTTTCATTTCAAGAAAAGTACTGTAACACCCACATAAAAAATGGGTGAACAGCTCCAAATTCGTATCCTACGTACGAAGGTTCTGACTACTTATGGGTGGTATAAAGAGGCGCCTTGCGTAGCTTGTTTTGGGGCTATTCTAAATGCTTCAAGTATGAAATAATGACAAAAACGGGCTAAGAAACGGCAGGAAATGTCAATATCAGACAGATTTCCTCATCCGAAATATTTTGTTTTGTTTTGCTGCTCTGAAATTGTATTGGATACCTATCACTCCAGACTTGTACTGCAGTCAGATGCTCTGAGGAAGGTGTCTGATAGACATCGAAATGTAAGCAATGTGAGGTTGTGTACAAGAAAATCTCAATATAACAACATGATGTACGTTCAATATGGTCTCCTTTTTATACGCCCTCGCTCCCATTAGGGTTATGATATACATATGTACATGTAAGAAAGTAGTACTGTAGATTACTTTTGTATTCCACTTCGACGGTTAGCCAGTAGAACTGGCCTGGAGAGGAGGCCCACTTCGTGTTTTGTCGGAACGTCGTTTCCACTCCCAGAACCTCCCTGGCGAAAGCCTCGTAAGGCCGGAGCGGGAGGCACTGCACCCGGACCAGCTGGCCGGCACACGGGACGGACAGGGCCGACTCCAGCTCCGCAGCGTCACTCCCTTGGACAACTAGAAATGCCGCAGGAAAGGTTTTTTTTTTAATTCCAACATGTAATCACCAGACGTGGTGACGACACACTCAAGTTTTTTCAACTTATATTAATGTCGCCACCAACACAGGGGACAAATACTCACACAGGACAATACTCATTTACACCTGAGCGAAGTGAGGAAAGCCGTGTAAAGTGCCTTTCCCAAGGGCACAAGATCGGTGGCATGTCAGGACTCGAACTCGGGACTCAAAGTTCCGAGTCGCGCAGTCTGCCGCTACGCCACACGACAAAGAAAAGGCTTAGCATCGGAACCAGGGGTGTTTACATAAAGCATGGTCAGGAGGACAATAGTTTAGTCAACATGACACTATCTTATTTCATGTATGAGAAACAATTAACTTTTTAAAAATATTTATCTTCCAGAAGGTAACCAATACTGTGATACGACATGAGTCTCACCTGCGATAAGCTTAGCTTCTGCCAGGACCTGAGAAAGATATATTGAATGATATGAATCTTTATTGCATGTTCTTGCCCAGATGGGCTAAATGCACAAGACGACACGCAGTATGCAAAACATGAGTATTGCATACTGGAACGCTATATTCTAATGCTAAGTGCTAGGAATTTGTACATTACAACAATACTATATACTACATATCATCTACTGTTAGTTGCCTTTTCTTCTCTCTTTTTGAAACATTTGGAAACATAATTACATAGTATGTCTGCTCATGCTATACATTCGTTCTTGCATGACATAAAGTGTTTAAACGTGTCCTGCTTTGACATTTTCTTACATATCTTGTCTAATTGTAAAGTATCGAATAGCTCTTGGCGTTCATCTTTATATAATGTACAGTTTTAAAAGTAAAAAGTAGAAAGTAAAAAGTAGAAAGTGTTTTCAACATATAAATGATTACAGAATTCGCAAGTTCTATCTTTCAGAGGGTACGGTTATGCCTGCCGGATTCAATAAGGAAGATACTGGTGTTTATATATGATCATAAAAGTAAGAGAAAACATGGCAAAAGACGCTGAAAGAAGGATGGGGTTTTACTTTGAAGAGGAAGAGAACTTTTCCGTTGTCCACCCTTGCCGTGGCCTGGGCCAGCGCGTTGACCGTGCCTGTGACCAGCTCGGCTAGCGGGGTCTGCTCGGACGCAGTGAAGCTGAACTCCAGGAAGTACTGCGGTGTTGTGGTGCTCATAGTGTGGTGTAGAGTTCGCTACCAAGTCTGTATAACAAACAACAGGACATGTGGAATGATTCAGGTAAGGCCACACCAATTTAATTTCTTGGTTTTCTAGGAAAATAATGGAGCGGGCGCTCGAAAAAAATAAAAACAGGCTTAGGCATCCTATTAATGAGCAATGAAGTCAACACACCAGGCTGGTTCAAAATTCAAACAATGAATTTTGAACTTTTAATGATACCACTGCATTGAAAGATGGAATAAATGTAACAACTAGGAAGAAAATGACTGTTTTCAACTGTTCAGGGCAAATTATGAGCATTTTGCAGTTGATTCTGTTTTTTTTTGCAAATCAGAAAAAGATGAAACGGGTGAATCCGTTAAACAACAAATTAAATTGGTGTGGCCTAATGCTCGATGACTCAGATATCTTAGAGTCCCTCACACACTATAAGGCCATGTTGATTTGATTACTAGTATATGAATGATCGAGCCCGCATGAATTTTTGTCCGTTTCCAAAAAAGTTTTCGACCATACTGTAAATCGTACAAAGTAGTTGCAAAATTATGCTCTAAGTTGAAAAAGAAATATTGGAGATCGATACTTATGTCGCAGAAAAATGCCAAAATCCATTCCAAAGGACAAGAAAAAAATGTGAAGGAATGAAAATGAAGAGTCCACATGAATGAAATGAAATATTACTCTGTGTGTTTAGTCATTTGTTCAACTGTGTGTTTAGTTATTTGTTCAACCTTCATGACCCCCTAAATTTAATAACGAAGGCAACCTATTTTATTTGCACGCTCGCATCAGTTTTGGGGTTCCCAGAGGATGTTATCTATATAATCACATCAACATGGCCTAAGTTAACTGAAGCAAGTTAATGGTGGACGTTGATTGCTTGAAATCTTAGCCCAAATACCCTACATGACAGTACAACACTGTCTTACTTACCAAATAGCGTTGTTCAAATCCTTCCCGTGATTCCTGTTTAACCCTCAAACGCCCGAACTTTTTTTGACGTTAATTCCTGAACGGGGTCCAAATGGACCCCATTTGGTTTCTTTTAAATTTATATTCCTTTTTTGCATCCTTTCAGTAACCTTTGCACATATATTGGTTAAATATATTCAGACGTTTATTTTGGCATGAATAAGTGTTTAAAAATTCCAGCTCATTATCATAATTTATGGAAAAACAGGATGAGGCCTGCAGGCATCAACATGGGGTTGACCTTTGACCTCATATGATTGTAAAATGTTAAATCTCTGAAAACCTGATGTCCTAATGTCTGAGGTTGAGGTTAATTGGCAAACTGCATAATATTAAAGCAATAATGCTTCCTTGAAGACATATTGAGGACATCCGAACAATTTCGTGTGTAGAAAAGTGCAAATACATGGCTGTTTGGACCCCAGACGGTCTTTAAATTAATACATCAGACTTCCGTTGTTATTTTTACAAATTTGTGCCGATCTCCAAAAAATTTAGGAGAACTTGTAGAAGAGGTTTACTGACAAAGTCACGGAAGGAATTTTTTTTTAGAAAAAAAATTCAAATAGCACGTCTGGGGTCCAAAAATAAAATAAAATTCAAATATACGTCTGGGGTCCAAATGGACCCCGTTCGGGTGTTTGAGGGTTAACCATTCACGTATGGTATACAGAGTAAATAACAAACAACTCCATGCAAACATGTACTGTACAGGTATAATTGTACACCGCACGGTTCAGGCTTTGTGCATCTTTCAAGCGGTCTCTTCATAGCTGCATGCCTCCCTGCGGATACAGAATGGCGGCTGGCCATGGGGCGATAGTCTCTATCAGACTATTAACTATGCTGGCTATATAGGAGAGTATTTGCCAGGGGAGTTTGGCCGACTTATAGGTTTGACTTGCCGCGCAGGGAAAGAAACTACCTCCCCGCGGCCGGACTCCCTTGGCCAATTTTACTCTCTTTGTTGCCGAATTCTAGTATCCGTTTTCCTGTATACAGGCCTGGTGGAGGATATATGGGACAAGGCGAAGCGTATAACACTTTTAGTCGGTAATCTCCAAGCAGATCTTCGGGGGACAAAATCGAAATGGTTTCTGACAGGCCCCATGATCTGAAGCTGATAGCGTGTTTGCAGTACTTCGAGGCCAGTCAGAAACCGTTCCGATTTGCCAAGCCAGCCGCGATTCTGCTCTACTCATATCGACAAGTATGTACTTCAACGTGTAGAGTTTTTAAACAACCGAGGCTTGCCAAAACAGGACCGAAAGACATTATGTACTTCACTTTATGTTCACCGAAGCAAAATTTTAGGGTCTGAGAAAAATGTTCACGGGGCCAGCAGGTGCAGGAAAAGGAAAGTCGACGATTGATTTGTGGGCCGCAATGATACGTTAACGGCACAGAAGCGATCGTGAAAACCATGAACAGTGGAGTATCGTGGAAAAGTCATGAACTACAGTAAATAGACATGTAAAATAAAGCCTGACTACATTGAAATACCTGTACGGAGATGTACCAGTGAAGTCCGCTTGTCTCGGCAAGAAGGTCCCTTGGTCTCAGAGATTTGTCTGGGGTGTGTTGGTTCAGGGTTGGTATGGGTCTTGTCAGGGCTTCTGTAATTCACCAGCGTCTATTTGACTCTTTATGCATTGGAATGAGTCAGCATTCCGATCCTTGTGAGGAATAATACGCAACGTGGCAGTCTTGTTAGCTTTAGTCCGCTCCGGTTAGCTGATAAGAAGGCAAATATCCAGGCAACGGAGGAACCCAAAGGACCGAACTGCTGCCGTGTCATTCCTGACAATACCCTGAGCGAGAGACATAGGCCCTGTTCAGACGGAATCAGTGAAGGCGCTTTACATGTGGTTTCCCCCGAAGCTTTCAAGTGGCTCCATCTGAACGCTCCAAATCACATTGAAAGCGCCTCGATCCCAAACCACTTCTAGAGATGGTTTCGAATCGGTTTTCCCGGATCGCGATTTGCGTCTGAACGCAATGTGACTTCAATGTAACTTCGCCTGGTCATGGATTACGGCGTGATATTTCTTTACTTATATGAAATGCCAAAATTTACATGGCCATGGCAGCAACTTAGAGTAGTAATGGTCGAATAATGCGTCCGTTCTAGGACGAGCTTCACCGCCTCTGGCGGGACCGCGTCGGCATTCGGCCGAGGTACGCTGGGAGGGGGGCGCCAGCAAGCGTCTGAACGCAATGTGATTTTACGCAGTGAAGAACGCAGTGAAGTTACCTTCACTGACTTCATATGAACAGGGCCCAAGTCTCGAAGTGCATCTCATCGTGCCCATCCGGATTGTTCCGGCTATAGCTGGTTCAGACTACAATAGTACACTATCACCACAGCCCATGAAACTGTCTATTCATGAGCTATTTATTCTGTAGGTGCAGTCATGTAGAAAAGACGTCCACGTTTTACACAAGAAAACATGACTCCTTTCCCCCCTGTATAAGCATTACCAAAACCCGAAAATTCCACCTGTTGAACTCGCCCATTAAGTATGGAAGAACGTTGTTGCATGCTAATTTCGCCCTCGAATTCTGTCGATTTGCCTGATGCTATGCTGGCGCCCTGTAAGTAGTCCTCTTCTGTTGTCTTATGCTAATGTTGCTCACAAGCCGTAAGTCTTAGTTCCCTATGGATTCATTTTATTCCCTTGACAATGTTCATTTGTTTTACCGTGTTGGTGTTTTCGCTGGCTTCAACCAGTTTTGCCCCTCCCTAATTTACAGTACTTTTACCAGGTGTGGTAAATGATTTTACGAAGGTTAAACATATTGCGGTTATTACATGTAGCAAATCGGGATACATTTGAAATTATTTGTCAGATTTGTTAACTTTTACATGCGTAAAGTATTCGTCAATTTTCTTCAGCTTCAAAGAGGATATTTTTTTTCCGCAATCAGAATTATAATGCCCTAATGTTTAGCTTGTATAGTACAATTCTACTTACAGTATTGTTACTCAGTGGCAATTACAAGTTCTGTACATGTGGTGAATAGAGAAGACAGGAATATAGAATGAATGGCGACCTTTATTGTATATTTTTGCCACACTGGGCTAGGTACAGGTCAAAACAAAACATGAAGAACAGACATACACAAAATGAAACTAGCTATCATTAGATAACTTCAACTTTTCGCTTTTCAGTTACTGTAGAGACAAAAGGACAGACATTCTCGGTGGAAGGTTTGTCTAGTTGCATTAGAAATATGAATTTTTCTACAAGTGTTTGTAGTAAGGAAGTATGTTTTGTACAAACCTTTACAGTTCATTTCTCTCTTAACTATACAATCTACATTCTATATAACAAAGTGACATTCGCCTACTCTCCAAGCAGAGGTTGTGGGGAATGATCGTTACCTTTTTATATATGGCCGTTTTTTTTGTCCTGATCCCCACCAACCCGTCGGTGGCTAATGGAGCTTCTCTGGCTAATGGATACTGCCTGGCCAATTTGATACTGTCTTTTTGCCACCGAGAGGGATCTGCTTGGAGATTAACATTCGCCCCATATTCTATATAGACGCTATCACGTTTGAGACGCATCCTTGCCACAGCGCCACCATGCGCCGAAGAGCCGACATAGCACTATTCAGTACTCCCTAATAAAGGCAAGTGGCAAGTCACCGAAACTTTGGCCAGGTGTAAGACTTTTAGATTGTGTTACATGAACCTTATGTTCCAATACATGCATTTATATATTTACCAATGACGCCTTGTTGAGCCTGCGTTGATACCTTCCAATGTTCTCATTGCTCTTTCTTATGTAGGGAAAATGGCAAACTACAATCGATCGACTTGACGCTCTGTTTCAAATTCCTCACCGCTTCTTCCCGTTCGGAGTGCTGTAGATGTTCCTAGCTTTCTTCCAACACGTTGTCGAGCTTGTCCAACGACGAGGTTTTCATCCTTGGTATCGACCCGACGCTCATCCTCCGTGTAGCAGTCAAACCCAGGTTCGCAAACTTGCCGTGATCCGTGGTGGGCACAGACGGTAGAGAGCTTCTCCGGGCCCGAGAGACAAAACTGCGGCTCGCCGGGAAGTCCTCGTCGCCTGCCCCTCTGCTCGACAGTTGTGCCCCGGTTCTCAGCTCAGGGAAGCCGATTTTTACCAGATCACTCGGCATGTGCATCGACGCTATGCTCGCCCTGCGTTGAAACTTCTTCTTTCTCCCGTTTACTTCTGATTTTTCCGGCGTACCGTCTGCACAGTTCACCCTGAGAGCAGCATCAGAGTTCAGCCTCGCTCTCTGGAAAACCTGATTCTGTTTTTGAACGGAAGACTCGTCCACGTTCAAGAGGGATGCAAGTAGCTGGGGGTCCATGCTCTTTCGACGAAGTATCCTGGGTTTAATCGAGTCCTTGGCTTCTTCGGGCACGGTGGTTTCTGAGGAACCTAAGTTGTGATTCCCCTTCTTTATCGAGGGCAGGTTCTTTGAATTTACTAGCTCTGAGTCACCAAAACTACTGTTGGCGCGGCGGTCATTGGTTGTTGTTTTCTGAGATACCAACGGGAGATGGCACCCAGGTACGGCTGTCTGTAGTGCCTGTCCCGAATCAACATTAACACCTGACAAGGCCGACGAAAAAAACTGTCTGTTGGATATGAATGTTTTTTTCTTGTTGTTGCCCGGTTTCTGAGATGATATTTTGTGCTCGTTGTGTGTGAGCTCTCCCTGTGAGAGTGTGTTGTTATCCAACAGGAGCATAGCCCCCGTCTGCAAGTTCTGTCGTCTGGAATTTTCCTTGTTTATCTCCAAAATCCGCTTGTTTATTTTCTCCAGGCGAGACAACAGCCTGCCATGTTCGACCCTGAAATGTTTCAACAAGACAACATTAAAACCCTCAAACACCCGAACTTTAATGCCGACGTTATATAAATGGCCGAACGGGGTCCAAATGGACCCCATTTGGTTTCTTTCAAATTTATAATCCTTTTTGCATTCTTTCAGTGATCTTTGCACATATATTGGTTAAACAAAGTATAGTAAGAGGTATATTTTGGCCTGATTAAGTGTTAAAAGATTCCAGCTCATTATCATAATTTATGCAAAAATAGGATAAGGGATGCAGGCATGAACATGTTGACATTTGACCTCATGATTGTCAAATTGTCAAACCTCTGAAAATCTGATGACCTAATTCCTGAGGTTGAGGTTACTTGGCAAACTGCATAATATTAAAGCAATAATGCTTCCTTGAAGACATATTGAGGACATCCGAACAATTTTGTGTGTAGGAGAGTGCAAATACATGGCTGAGGTCCGTTTGGACCCCAGACGGTCTTACATAAGACTTCCGTTGTTATTTTCGTAAATAGGATATTCATAAATAGGATATAAATGTGCTATAAATAGCACACAAAGGCTGGCCAAGAGCAAAATTTAGCAGACAGGGAAAATAAAATGAATGACTTGGTCGAAAACTCGTATTGTCTGTTTGGCTTGAAAGCTACCTTGAAATGTGAGTAAAGAGACGGTTTCTACACAACCAAGTCTTCCAAGACAAACAAGAGGTCCCGGGTTCGAGTCCTGACATGCCAACGATCTTGTGCCCTTGGGAAAGGCACTTTACACGACTTTCCTCACTTCCCTCAGGAAAAATTAGTATTGTATTGTCCCCTGTGTTGGTGGCTTGAGTGCGCCGTCACTACGTCTTGTGATTACATGTTGGAATTAAAAAAAAATAACAACAAAAAAACAAGTCTTTTATTCAGCCGACGTTTCGGTGCCCGTCGACTGTCACCTTCCTCAGGGCAATTCTTACTGGTTCACATACCTTGAAATGTGTTCCGCTGCAATCGACTATTCTAGCAATAATTTAGCCTCTACAAGCAGGCTTCGCGAGGCGATTGGAAAGAGTAGAAATCGGCCAAATAGAGAGATAAGATGCCAGGGGAGTTTGTCTGCTGGGAGAGAACATTTTGCCGCACCCGGGTGTTATCTCTCTATTTGGCCGATTTCTACTCTTTCCAGTCGCCTCCCGAAGCCTGGTAGAGGCTAGCAATAATTGACTCCTTTTAATAGCTTACCTGTCGGAGTTCCAGGCGATTTGTCTTTCTTTCTCCAACAGTTTCATTTCCCAGTCGTGCTGTTGTTTCTCGGCGAGCATCTTCTGGCGGTAAGTCTTGAGCCTACTCCCCTCCATCAGTAGCTCCGCGTGCGTGTCTGCGGCTGTGGACAGGCTGGCCATAATAAATACTGTAGAGTTGTATAACGTAGAACGTTACACAACTAAAACGCCGCCTAATAAATAAGTAAGGAATAAAATAAGATCAGCCAGGCCATCCACTGATAAGTTATACAAGCAGGATGATTTCGTAATTTGAAGTCGCGACTAGTTTTAGTATCTTATCTTATCTATACTATTTTGCATTTGAAACAAAAAATATCCCCAAGAGTGTTTGGTCTAGCCAAGGAGTTTTAAACCTCCCTGGTCTACTAGCCACGTGTTTGACTTCACTTGACTTGTGTCGAGTGGGCATATCAGTATTCCAGATGCTTCCGTTTGTCAACGTAATGTACGTAATATACGTAATGTATAGGGCGGTCTACTGCATTAATGAATGAATAAATGAAGATCTTTATTGTACACACATACCCACTGGGTTAAGTACAGGTCACAAAAAATGATGGAATATAGATAACGTTACATACATACATCGTCAAGTAGCTACAATCAAGTAAATTCGGTTTCTTCTCGTTTCTTAGTAGAAGAACAGATATGTTTCAAAATACAGAAGGTTTGTCTAAGCTCATTAGAAATATAAATCTATCTGTACAGCTTAGATGTATAAAGAAGAGGAACATAGATTGTATCAGATTATAAAGATCTACCCTCTCTTTGTGGTATAGTTCACATTCTGTTACAAAATGTTTCTCATCTTCGATTCTTCCTAGTATTAATAACGTCATTTGGCGCAGTACCTGTGCACGTGCGAGTTATATCTCTGCAGGATAGACCAAGGAGGGTAAAAACTTTTTTGCATAGACCAAGAAGTTTTATCTTCAGGCTCAATATTCCTTTTTTGTGTGGTACGAAAGTCTTGCTATCAAAAAAGACAGGTCTTCGATCTGTAAATTAACCCATTCATGACCTGTACTTCGCCTGTTAAGAGCACAAATGTACAATAAAGGTATTTCATTCATTCATTCATTCATTAAAAAATCCGACAGGAGACTACAAAACCACCAGATAAAGTTTACTTGACCAGATAAAGATGAATTTACTTACTAGCGCGCTCCCAACAGTTGTAGGTCTTCCTACGATTTTGAATTTTGAAGCAGGCTGTTACAGAACAAACTAGACAGTCTGTCACGTCTGCCCGGCGTCAAAATTGACAACTGCCAAATGGTTTGTCTAGCGAGTTTGTTGTATGGAGGAGGCCCAACTGAATCGAACCCCTTTTGGTTCATACATAAGAAAGAAACTAAGTAACCGGACTTGTTTTCTCCCTGACAGTAATCCCCTCAAACACGCATGGATACCGCTAAACACTTTTTCACGGCTTAACTCACAAAATGGGACATTATGTTAACTCATTCCGAAAGTAATTGCATTTTTACTTGTTTGTTTCTGTGTCTTTGTCCTGTGAAACTATATGTGTGTATAGACGTAACCAAGCATATTTTGAGCCAGCTTAGTGTGTATTATACAATCTACGAACTGTGTATTGGATGTGTATTGTGTGTAATTGTCTTCGTTTTTTACATTGTAATTGTCTAATTTTTGATCCCAATAGTGATAAAGTGAACCTAGACTTAATCAATTCCCTTTCGCAGTAAATAAGCAGGAAGAGCTCATTTCTGTTCGGTGGTACTGTCGGTGGCTGGCAGGTACCGGTGGGAAAAAAGAGGCGAAATCGCTTCGAACAAGGACGTACGCGTTGATTAGCGTCCTTGTTTCGATGAAGGTTATTTATCTATTTTTTTTTACATATGCCGTTTCTAAGATCGCGATTCGAGCCACCCCGCCAGGCCGATCGCTGGAGAGCCGGACCAATTCGAACGGATCGATAATCGATACATTTGTACGGATCGGGAGCGTTCCCGCTGTAGGAAACTTGTCCGCATCGATTCGGATCGCTATCTATTCGACTCGATCTGGTTTGCAGTGGAAACGGGGCCTTTAAGCATCTGCAAGTCACGTAAAGGCACTATGAAAGTGGAGCCCTTTCCGAACTTCCGGAAAGTCCACGTTCACGCAATCTTTACGTTGGCGTTTAGGGGTCGTAAAGGTGCGGAAAGTGGGAAGAAATGCGGCCTTTACGCTGAGTTTAAGCGTGTTTAAATATCACTTTTCGTGCCGTGCTAACGCGCTCGAGAGTCAGGTGATGCATCCTGACTGAACCTCGCTTTTTGCCGGATCCCTAGCTAGTTGAGCGCCGGGCAAAGACCGTGGGTTTCACAGGCTATAGGTGACGCCAAAGAGATATCACTGAGCTCACGGCGGTCTGGTTACCAGGCTATCAAGGTGACACAGATGTCAGGCGCTTCGCGGCGGTCCTCCTGCGCTGTGTGGAATTCTGCCCAGCTGCAGCGTCTGATTCGCTGTAATCAATGTCTTGCGGCCCAGTCAGCTGTAGCCGTTTATTCCCCTCAGTTGCCCATATTTACCCATCCATAGCTAGTATAGTCACCCACACAGGAGAAAGGGTTTCTTCTCTTTACCATGTGACACCATCTGCCTGGATTGTACATGTACGTGCTAATAAAGATCTGCTAGACAGATCTGAGCCTTGTTCATGTGAAGTCACCCAAACCGCAATTCGGGTAACTCGCATTCCTAACATCTAGTCGACGTGCCACACATTCCTCTGAAACCGTGTTCGATCACAATTCGCTTGAGCTACATTTATTGTTGTTTGATGGAAACACGCAAGGTAGCGTGTTATTAATGTCAGAGGTCAACGACCTGCTTGCTGATGCCCCCCTCCCAGCGTATCTCGGCCGAATGCCGACGTGAGAGGTGGTAAAGCTCGCCCTAGAACGGACACATTATTTGACCATTACTGCTCTTTTAAAAGTTGCTGCCACGTAAAAGTTGGTATAGCATATCAGTAAAGAAATATCACCCCGTAATCCATGACCAGGCGAAGTCACATTGAAATCACATTGCGTTCAGACGCAAATCGCGATGCGGGAAAACCGATTCGAAACCACCTCCAGAAGTGGTTTGGGATCAAGGCGCTTTCAATGTGATTTGGAGCGTTCAGATGGAGCCACTTGAAACCGGCTTCGGGGTAAACCACATGTAAACCGCCTTGGGTGATATACGTAAACTTACAAAAAAATGTTTTATATTGGTCAGCCTGGAATTGTTGCACTTCTAGTGCAATTTTTGCTTGTAGTCCAGAAATGAGGGGACTTTGCTCTACAAACATGTCATCGTGTGAACTCAAAATGTCTCATATCCGTTCTGCGTCAAATTTCATGTCATCCAGTTTGTCATTTAGTTTAGAAAAGTTGAAAGAGTTCAGTCTTGATTTCTTCTAATTTGATTAGCAGCGCCTCCATCTTCACAGTGTGTATAACCCGAACAGATAACAATCAGAAGTCACCTACCATTGTAGATGCACAGATATATCTTGCATATAACGATACTCCTTGGTTTTAGAACATCCTCGGCAAGACATGTACCACACAAACCCACACACGACGCACGCTAGAAGGAGTAATGGCGCATCACGTCTCGTCTGTCAGCTGCAGCCATTTCAAGCTTCACAGTCCTCCAATTTACGACGCCGCCGAGAGTTTATACCGAGTCTACAACGGTAGAACAGAAGTTGGATGTCCCCGGAATGAAGCTGTTCAACTTCCGGCCTTCATTGGGGATTCCTGGTCGACTTATTAACGAAAGAAATAGTAAGCTGTAACCCGTGGATAAAAAGGAACACAGCATGTCCGCCATCTTGGAAAATTGTCATTTTAAGTCTTTTTCTAGTGTGCAATTTATGTAACACTAATAGAGAACCTAATGAAACAAACAAACAAACAATAAGCAGTAATCATTTAATTGCACAACAAGACTTACTCTGTAACTAGCTCTCACAACAGCTAATTGTTATTATATCATACAGAAGAGAATCCCTTACAATTTCGGCTAGTCTATATTATTCAAAAACAAACATCTTGTCAATGATACCAATAATACATCTTACCAATTTGATGCCTTTCACGCCAGACCTTTGTGTGAATTAGTCCTTCTGTCATTAATGTGAAACATCACTTTTATTACTCACTGAAGCAGAGGTTTAGGCTTCGGCCTATTTTGACGTGTTTTATCGGACTGTCTTTTTTGTACTGGTATACTGTCTTATCATTTACATTGCTGCTGTATTGTAATAACCAAAAGATTTGCTTTTATATTAAAAGTTTTGGTTGGTGGGCTTAAATTGGGAAGAAATCAAAATGGTAGACTCATAATTAATAACCAGGAAGAACAGGTGACGGGGAAGTTTATACCTTCAGCAAGGAGGTTATGTTTGGTCAGGCAACATGGAAACTTTGGATCCGTGAGCTTTGACTGTGATCAGTCGTTGACAGAGTGATACAGAGACGCCCCCTGTTGGGGTCTCTACCGACTGCAGTTTAATCCCTTGGGATTTTATTTTTTGGCTTTGAATCATCGCCATTGGCAAGAAATGAAAGAGTTAGCTTTGAGTTTAAGAAGCCCGTAGCAAATTCAGATAGCACACAGGGTATAGTTAGCTGTCAATTGCTCATTCCATGGCCAGCCCTTCATCTGAGCTAGTTTCGGACACATTGTCTTCCAACTGTAGCTGTCCAACATTCCCTTCCAACTGTGGCTGCCCAACATTCCCTTCCAACTGTGGCTGCCCAACATCCCCTTCCAACTGTGGCTGTCCAACATCCCCTTCCCACTGTAGCTGTTCCAGTTGTCCTGTGGCACCTTGATACATGTTGATGATGGCACCATCGCCTGCGTTGATGATGTGGTTGTGCATCTCGTACACGCGGGGCTCCTGGTGCGAGTATCCAACAGCTCCTTGCTCCTCTTCATAGTCTCTTCCGCCACACAGGAGGTCATCGACGTCTTCTGAGAAGCCGAGGATGCCGTGATGGACGTTGCCGTCCTCTGCTTTGGCCTTGTTGATCTGATCCATGCTGTAGGAGTAGAACTCTTCTCTGTGCTCCTTCAGTGCACGAGCGCTGAGCACCCTTTCCTCTGTAGTAGTGCCTGGACTGACCTCGTCGAGCACATTGCTGAGGATGTTCTCAATCTTCTCGAGCATCTGCCGGCAGCTCGGCTTGTCGCCCTGCTCGCTTCGCACGCAGATGTTGACCGCACGGCCGTCTGGGGCGAGCTTGATGAGGCCTTCTACGTTGGAGTCGAAACACTTGGCTCCGTCTCTCCACAGCAGCGGGCGGTTTTTCAGTTCCCTCATCAGGCGCGTCTGCACACGGGGGAAGAACGCGGAGGAGAACATGTCGGTGGTGTCGGCACACTGGACTTGCTTGCCGAAGTAGACGGTCTTGGCAGGGGTCGCAGTTGGCTGCCACTTCTCTGGAGGCATGGTCTGTGTCAGCAGCCCGGGGATGATGAACTCCTTTCTGTCATAGGTGTGGCAGAGCTGGAACTCTTGCAGCAGGGTGATCAGGAGATCTACATCGGCGACATCTTGGAACACCCTCTGGATTTCCTCTTTCGTGACGACGTCGTCGACGGTTCTCAGATGTTTGATGGGAAAATTGTCTGGAGCCATCACTTTGCCGAATACATTTGTGCAGAGCCAGTTGGGCTTCAGGATAACGATGGGCTCCGGAGTTGTGGACACAAACAAGATCTGTAATCAGAGAGAGACGATTGTATGACAAGTTGAAAATCTTTTATCGTTTACCGTGTATCAATATTGCTTTGTTAGTTGGTTAAAATGTCATATATTGCGTAGAACATTCTCATTTACATGGCGTAACAATGGTAAAAGCAAGTATTGTAACCTATGTTATATTGCCTCCATATTTTTATACATAACATACAGTCCATGAACAGTAATATGTTCAGTAATATGTTTGTTATTGTTTACCTCTCCAAGGTGAGCCAAGTACTGCGAAGACGTCTTGAGAAAATCTTCATTGGTCAGCTGGTCAACCCCCATCATCTCCATCACTGCTTCTTTGTACTCCGTCCACCTCAAGACAGGACACCTTGGGTTGCACTTCTCCTTGGCCCATTTCGGAAGGCACTTCAAGATCTCAGCACACAGCTTGGGAATGGCTCGCTGATGCTACATAACGAAAATGAACAGTTAGGGCCATAGCTACCTTACAGTTGTTGTTGAGTAATTTCACAATCATTACCGCGTGGGCTTATGAAAAGACACTGTAGGTTTGGATAGTCAAATTGATACCCATGATCTGCGTGCTTATTTGACATGTATTGAATCATTCTGCAAATATTATGTATTAATTTTATGTCTTATACATTCATATTGCATGTCCTGTTTTTGAACAACAGTAGGGATGTATGACGAAAACTACAAGTCGGTTTCCATTTGAATCCAAATATTTTAGATAAAATACTAAAGTTAAAAAGAAACTATTACAAAACGACTCACTTCCAGAAGCTCGGTCTTAAGTCTTGCCAGAAGGTCTTTAAGACGCCACATGTCAGTCTGACGAGTCTTCCTGCAGTCGAGGAGAAACACTTCGTCTGAGATGTTCAGGTGATCCTTGAACGTTGACGTCATCAGCTCAAGGATGGAAGATGCTCGTTGATGACCTGTTAGAGAAAGCAATAGGTAAATGAGTAGACGAAATATTTTGAGCCAAAAATCATTGAGAGGATAGTGGACATAGGGCATAGTGGACTGAAGAACCCTTTAGCATCCCTTGTTTCAGTAGTAGGCAGTCCGAGTAAATGGCAGGAATTACAGTATGATGTAACAAACCTGTATCAGTCTGGTCCGCATGACTGGCCACTAGGATGACGTAAGGTTTACTCTTTGTGTTGCAGGACTTGATGAAACACAGCCACCAGTGGACCTGTGAGAAAAAAAGTGAGTTACTGTCGAAATCAATTGAGATTCCTCAGAAGTGTCTTCAACAGTTACCACCTACATTGTGTAGAAGATACCCGTTTAGTCACCTTTTTCTTCTGTGTGTTGATATCGTCCATGATGCTGTACAACACAATGAAGATGGTGTTCTCTGCGTCCATGAACATGCTGTGGGTTACCGCGTACTCCGACTGTCCAGCGAAGTCCCACACACTGACCTGCCCCACGCCGGGAATGTTGGTTGTTCCCACATTCACACCTGGGGTGGGCTCGTGTGGCTGGTCGTCTGGAGTCATTCGATCTCTGAAGAAGCCCACGAAAGATCCCTACATGAAATCATCTAATATTTAGTTAGGACATTCAGTTCAGTGCTATAGATAGAGGAAAATGTTACTACAATTTTCGCCAAGAACATAAAGATGTCAAGAGAATCTTTACTTATAAAGAATCTTTGTACATATAGATTATTCAGGAAATCTGTAATAACTGTTTAATAACAATGACAGTGTAGGGTTGGCACGAATATGAAATGAAAGAATTAAAAAAAAATTATATTTCTATAATACAAGGAATGCATACATCACTTACAAAAGACACATTCCGTACAGTGAAAAATATCTAAATGAAAGAATGTTCTTGATCTACTGATGTACTTGTAGCAATTCAAATCCGCTATCATTCAAGTCATACCATCCTGCATCACGTGCATGGAACTGCAAATAATATAATATAATTGAAAAACAGTTCCAACGTTATGAATTCATCCTGACATTCCAGACACAAATACATGACACATTGTACACTTTACTGGTTAAATTCAAGCAATTCTGTGTCTTTGTGCTCTAAATGTCTAATTTCATCGTCCTTATTGTAATGGAATTATTATTAGTTTACGATCGTACCGTTTGCAGAGTTTCCACCAGAGTAGATTTGCCAGCTTCCTGTGGTCCACAGAAGCACAGTTTAAACCTGTCCACTTTCACTCCACCGGACTGTTTCATCAGTTTGTGGTAGGGAACCTCAAAAGCCAGATTCTGGATGGTCAATATAAACACTCGACTTGCATCATCCAAAAATTAAGCCTTTCTGATAATGGGCCTTTAGCTGGGCGTCATTAAGCAAAACCAAAGTATAGGCACCCATTCGTTCATAATCGCTAATCAAATGTGATGACAAAATAACAGGAAGATTTCTTGTATTCAGTAGCTCTGAAAGCGGTTGGCAACATTTTGGAGACTATGATACACAGGTTTGCAAGATATCAGTAACAATTTACCTTTAGGAAACGTCGGTGGTTTTGGTCACGCACGAAGTCCAGTGGTGTCTCCCCATCCTGTTTACGAGGCATAAAGCGTAACTTAACACAATGTTTTTGTACCTATTCTTACTAGTTTGTTGAAAAGCGATATTATTGAAAGAATTCGCAGACGACCTCGCCCCGATAGTGGCCCACTTATTCAATGCCTCGTATGAAGAGGGAACTGTACCCCTGGCATGGAAGTCGGCAAACGTTGTCCCTGTGCCCAAATGTGCCGGTGCATCTCGAGCCCAGGACATGAGGCCAGTGTCACTCCTCTCGGTCTTGGCCAAACTACTCGAACGGTGCATCCTGAGGAGATTACTTCCATCCATCCTACCGGTCATCAAGGACCAGTACGCGTATGTAAAGGGTTCTTCGACCACCATCGCTCTAGTCCGAATGGTCCAAACCTGGCTTACAGCACTGGACTCTAACAAGCCAGCCCTAGTCAGAGCCATCTTCGCTGATATGAGCCAGGCGTTTGATCGTGTGGATCATGCTCTCTTGCTACAACGTGTGATGGACATTCAGGCCAGCCCACGCATGCAAAGGTGGATCTTCAGCTACCTTCAGAACCGCCGCCAGAGAGTTGTCTTGGATGACGTGACCAGCGCCTGGCTTACCCTAACGTCAGGTGTGCCACAGGGCGGAGTCCTCTCTCCCTACCTGTTTCTACTCTTTATGAGCTCGCGCACCACGGTACATCATGACACCACAAACGTTGGGTATGCAGACGACGTTGGTCTCTCAAGAACTCTTGCTGTACCCACAGCCGACCTAGATACAACCGTGGCGGAGGAGACTTCTCACCTTGACTGCTGGGCGGAGGAAAACAGGATGATCCTGAATGGTTCCAAGAGCCAGCTCCTACAGATTTGCTTTAGTAAATCTGTTCCCATTCCTCCATCGATCACCTTGGGCGGCCAACCTGTGCCATCGGTCGGATCGGCGAAGGGACTTGGTTTTATCCTGGATAGAAACCTTTCTTTCAACGAGCAAGTCACCGCCATGACAAGCAAGGCATCGCGGAGACTGCACTACCTGCGTTTGCTCACAAAGCAAGGCACTAGTGTCACGGATCTAGTGCAAATCTACCTGGCACTAGTAAGACCTGTCCTCGAATATTGTCATGTGCTGTTGGTAGGGTGCGGCAAGGAGCAAGAAATGGCCATTGAGAGGGTCCAACGCCGTGCCCTCCGCATCATTTCCCTGGGAGGACGTCGCAGCGTACCCGATCTGCCCACACTGAAGACGAGGAGGGAGGAGGCAGCCGTGCACCTGTTTGAGCGAATGCTGCGAGATGACCACCCCCTAAACGACTTGGTTCCGCCGACTAGGTCTGCAGCAACTGGACTGTCCCTGAGAAACGCTGAGAGGATCAGTCTGCCTCCAGCTCGTACAAAGAGACTGCGCAATTCCTTCTTACACTGTGCTATCCGGTTGTATAACAACAGACCAACACTTGATACACAGTAATCACTTTGTATATATGTAATGCTAAGTGTGTTCGCTTTGCTTTTATGGATAGAATTGGTTGTAATTGAGATGCCGTCTTTTTAAGATATTCTGCTTGTGACGTTACTTGTAATGTTAAACTTTGTAATGTGTACATTGACTCATGAATTATGTAACCAGGACGTAATTCGGGCAATTTTTGCCCGCGAGCTCCTTTGGACTTTTAATAAACTTTTAATAACTTTTAATTATTATGTCTATTACTGCGTGGCGTAGTGGAGATAGAGAAAGGTAAGCCGTTTACTTTCAAGGCCTTAAATATAGCATTCTATGTGATAGCATGTAACAAGCTACTCCCACCACATTCTGCCTAAGATATAGCTAGGATAGTGTGTATCTCAGTTAAAGGTACTGGGCACGTGTATTTTTTCCCACTAAAGGGCAGAAGTTAAGGGAAAGTTGTGGAATCAATTTGAGCTTTTAATTTAGTACTGCAGCATCTTCATGATTTTAATAGAAACTTGAATCTTTTCATCAAACCTAAGTGACCAAGTTGTCCCCCGTGATTTTCCTTACAGGCCAAGATTAGTATATATTTCTCAACAATCATTTGTTGCACCTTACCCCTAACTACATGATTGTCTTCACTTACCTTGTTCCTCGCCGCCACATCAGCGCCATGTTGAATCAGCAGCTCCACTACCCCAGTCTGCCCGCTCCAGCTGGCCCTATGGAGTGCGGTCCAGTTATCCTGTGTAAACACACGGAGAAACTAGGAAGCTGCTGCATATTGTTGGATTCAAACAGACTCTCAAGGACAGCCATGTAGAATTTTCAGTGGAAAGAAGAAAGTGCTTTTACAGTTGACAGTTACATATCATGAGTAAAGTTTACTTGTAAAACATTATTATATGGCTATCAAACATTGTAAAGCCTGGACTAAAAACCGCAATCTCCTTTGCCACTTGCGTGAAACGCATCGTTAAAGTTTTCGTAGATAGTTACAAACTTGCCTAGGTTATGGATTGTAGGGTATGTGATTCGTTACTTTATTGTGTTATGTATGTATGTATTTCACAATGTGGGGCCCGACATCAGCTCAGCTGTCAGGGCTTCCACTGTATTGCACTGTATTGTTTGCAATTTAAATAAATAAAATTTAAAAAAAAAATTCGTTGTTCCAGGGGAGTGCGGTTATGTCGCCCGGTTTCAATGTGTAGTTTGTGGCAGCTTATCCTGAGCTTTGTAGTGGCGGTCCTATACCGTATATTGTCGAGATTTAGATACTTTTCTCCATTATACGTTGTCTTGAACAGTCTGTAGGATCTCAATTTGTTTCTAGCAGCTCCATTAATGATCCTTTGATCCTAACTACATGAGATGATTGTCTGTACTTACCTCGTCCCTCGCCCCCACATCAGCGCCATGTTGAATCAGCAGCTCCACTACCCCAGTCTGCCCGTGCCAGCTGGCCACATGGAGTGCGGTCCTGTCAGCCTGTGTAAAAACATGAAGAAACCATAAGGATGCTGCAAACCGGCGGATCCAAACAGATCAAGGTCAGTAGGAATTCTATGACTAAATATGATTTTACAATTGACGGTAAATCGCAAGATGAAATTGAACGACATGACTTCGGATGTATTCAGATGTCGTTAAGAGGAACGTTGCTATTAGCCTTAGGAATGTTTTACACTGTGTTTCTTTGCCGAAACATTTATTACCTCCATGAAAAATGGAGATATTGTTTTTGGTGTGTCTGTCTGTCTGCATGTATGTATGTATGTCTGTCTGTGTGTCTGTCTGTCTGTCTGTCTGTGTGTGTTTTCGCAACTTTGTGGTCAGCATAACTTCAGAATGCCTTTATGGATTATGATGATATTTGGTATGTTGGTAAGTCTTAGGGAGACAAACGTCAAGGTCAAATATGGACCTCCTGGTGGATGACCTTGGTACTGCAGCAGAACTTCCGGTTTTTGTATCTTTTGTCCTGAACATGCTATGGTCTTGATGTTTTGGTGAAAGATTGCTTTTTCTGCCAGGAATAAATGATGTGAGTTTGGTCTACCTAGCAGCTTGTTCGGGAACTGCAGGGCACTTTCTGGCGAAATGTTTAAAAGCCAATAAGTCCAGATAGGAACAACATATTTTCATAATTTTTGGTATGTAGGTAGCTGAGAGAGAGATGTACATGATTAAATACAAATTATGCAAATGAGGACTTAATTTGCATAATTAACGAGGAAATTCTATGATTACAGTGTTTTACATTATACTACTTTCATACATGTATTGTATGTAACCTATGGCAGGCAGAACATCAACAGATACTAATTATACAAATGATGACCTAATTTGCATAATGTATGCAAAAATTCTATGATTTCTTAATGGTGAATAATGGGAATGTCATACTTTGGACATCTGTAAGTTAATCAAAAGTTAACATACATCACGATGCATATATCATGCTAATGCGGAGGTAATTTGCATAATTAAAAAGGAAATTTACATATCAAGAGCATATTTCATGGAGGTATGAGATCTCGGAATTCTTGTTTGTGAAAGTGTGTAGCTTACTGATACAGCTTCTTTACGAATCACAGTTTAATCCAAGATCCACATTGCATGCATGTTGTTCTTGATCGGAGATTAAATGGATACAGCTTGCATGAGCGAATGAGACATACGACGTTAGAGCACTTTAGATGCTACCATCTCAATACACTGAGCAACGGTATCACAATCTCGGTCCATCACTACCTCACGATCTATCATGATGAGTTGGACGAAGTGCCCAAATCTCAGACATAATTGTCTATACTTACTTACTTACTTATTTACACCGCTGATAAAGCATGCGATACTGACAACAATTCGGTATACGGAATATGAGCTACACAACAAAGCGATAGAAACGCCAACCTTCAAAACTCAAAACGTTCATAAGCTGCAGTTACCCATATCAAACCCTGATTGACGTCCCTCCCGGCCAGAAGTTCCCTCCTCACGGCCTGCACGTCTCCCCTCCACACAGCCCACCTAAACTCGCGATCGTCCATGGCAGGTCGTTACTCCGGACACCTGCTGTGTTAAAGGTGATAAAACCTTTACTGCGGACATCTGTTATCATTTCATGAACATTGATTGGAAAAAAGTCTTCCTTCGATCCATTTGCGATGAGTTGATACTCTTCTTTGTACGTTAGTCCAAGTCACAGGAGTGTTGTTGTTTTACTGATAAGAGATGAATGGACTTTGTAACATCATAAACATCAATCTTAACTATCTAGACATTCCTGGTGATTTCGTGTCAACAAAACCAACTGTTACACAAGGAAAAACTCACATGCACTCCTCTCGATGACGAATAAACAGAAGCCAATTGCATTTTATCAGGCCCGTTAAATTCTTATGTATAACGTTCCTTTATTTCGGCTTATTTCTACAAATCATTCAGCATACAGAGAAATATTTTGACGGCTGGACTTCGTCAATTATCCCTTCATAGTAGCTGAGCAGGAATCATCTTCAGGTTTGGTAAATCGATCCTACATGTGCGTTTTTATGGAGCAATTGTATGTGTAATATTAGCGAGAGTATTTACAC